ACCAGCGTCGCCAGGATTTCCACCGGCAGCACTCTTCTTCCCCCCTCCTCCCGGGCTTTGCCGGTCAGGAGGAGGTGGTGGTGGAGGATCGTTGTCAGGAGGGCTAGGCGGAGGTGGCCGCTTATCCAGAGTACGGGAAGTGGCACGCCTTCCTTCTGTGTGATCGTTTAACCCACTACTCGATGCTTTGCTCGAGTACTTTGATTCGAGAGTGTTAATTCTCTGGGCCGTGCTGTTTAGCACGTCAAGCATCTGTTCGAGTTTGCTGTTGAGCGTAGTCGAAACGGCCATGTTATGAGTATTCTGCTTGTCCGTGTAGGATTTGCAATCCCTTGATTTGACTTCTAAACTGGTCTGCGTTTCACAGAGCTGGTCCTTAACCCATTTTATGCCTTCCCTGTTGGTGACCCAACATTGTTCGGCATTTTGCATCATCCTGTCAATATGACACATCCTGGTGGATAAGTCCTCGATTTTGAGGTTTACACCACCAATCGCAGGATGGTTGGATTGACTCTCTACTAGGGGCCTCTCGATCGCGTCAACACGAGTTACAAGCTCGGCTACTTGATCAGAGAGAGACTCACAAACAGTTTGAACTTGGATGATTGAGCGAGCGACATCGTCATAGCTGGCTCGCCTAAGCTCGCCATACCATCGGAAACGATCTTGACTCGTTGGCCAAGCTCGGCTACGATGTCCTCAGTCCCTTGTGAGAGCTGCATGGACACGTTTGCAGCCTGTGTACATGCATTGTTCACATGGACGCATTGGTCATACTTGGCCCTCCACGAGTTAACCTCGGTGGTGAGTTGTTTGATGCATTGATCGCTTCTATCATTTCTTCGCGGCGATGTTTGATTGCACTTACTGAAGAGTCCACTCTCCCTCTTTCAAGGGCCGTGACGAGATCAGCAACCTCATGGGGCTGATCTTCACCCATGGGGCTATACCTTGATCCATGGTCCCGAGGAGTGGACAGATCAACCATGACTGGATTAGACCTCGGAGGAGTTCTGAAATCATCCTGCACAGGCGTTGACGGCCGTGGGAACTCACTCCGATTAGGAGATTGACTCTGATACGGCGCAGACCTCCTAGCATCACGAACCGCCGAGGCAGAGGTCTGGCGTCTGGTTGGCGAAATGCGAAAGGCGCCACGTAACGGTGCCAGAACTTGCAAGAAAGATTTTACTGGCTAGTCCGAGCGTCCTGTAGCACTCATGGGGAAGACATGTGACGACCATCATCGTCCTACCAAGGCTGTCGAATAAGAGATGCTGATGACCGTGATGAGAATGATGAGAAAAATGAAGAGTGTGATGACAACATCATCGTAGCGTCCTCTGCATTGAAGTGATCCGCATAGATTCAGTATCACGTGAAGCGTCCTCCAGCATTCATGGGGAGGACACGTTGACTGTAAGGATAACCCTCCTCTACATTCATGGCGAGGACAGTTTGAGAGTCATGATGACCATAATCGTCCTACCAAAGCCGAATGATGACAAAGATGAAGACTATGCTGACAGCTATCATCGTAGTTTGGCATCCTGAACCGCTCCCGAACAACGACGCGAGACTTTCCTGTGCCCGAACCTCCGTTCAGAGCCCAACGCAGCGAAGTTCAGATGATGCAGGTGATGCTCATCACTTTCCTTTTCGCGGACCCCCGGCCGCGTCCTCGGCGGCACTTTGCGGCAGCCCAAGAAAGCTTCGCTCTAGAGCCTTGCTCCAAAGGACCAAGGTGGGTAACCTGACACGGCCGTTCGGCCAGTTGGCGGCGGCCAGGTTTACGTTGCTGGCGCACAACCGGCCGCGGCAGCATCGCGAGGCTCAACTTCACAGCTCTTGCAAGGACGGCTAAGCAGGCAGCAGCGACAACAACAACATAAACAGACATACATTTCCTTACTTGCACACATACACACATCCATTTTCCAAACATCTTCCCTCAGTTTTCCATCCATCTTCCACCTTTTCCATCTGTGGCATGCCCAGGCCTTTGGCCACGGACAATTTAGGAACGACTGGCCTATCAGTTCGCGTACAAACATCAGGTCTAGCGTCAGCAATGACAATGTCGACTCAACATCAGTGGCATTACTGATGGTGTGATTGTGACTGGAACTTGATGCCATCATGGACTCAGATTCTATCGGAACATTAGCTCCGTCCATGTTGTCCAAGGCGAAAAGGGAAGCCGCATTGGGCGCAGGGCGAACATTCTGTACATTCAAGCCATTCGACCTATTAAATTCCTCCTGGAATGCCTCGATCCCATTGAACACATTAATTAGTGTGTCCGCGTTTACCAATAATCGACGCTGGATCACCTGATCGACCACGACCTGAGTCCCGCGTACTGGGGTTTCCCCTGTGAGCGGTCTCCCGATCCATCCCTCTTGCCCTATGCGAGCCAGTCGAATTTGACCTAGACCGCTTGCTCGGGGTAGGACTGGGATGCAAATCTAATCTATCTACAATGTTTCACTCCCTAGGGCTCTCAAATCCTGAAAGTCCTGGGGAGGGGACATGTTCCTCATGGTCGGGTTTACCGACGGTCTTGGCCTGACGTTACGGCTGGCTACATCAGGATTGAGATTCTCAATTGACAAAGGCAACATGAACTCATCGCTTCCAGCGGCCCGTTTTGGGCTTTGGAACTGCGGGAAAGATGACGGGGCGGGTGGCCCTGAGGCAGGTCTACTGCTGCTTCGAGAGTCATGAAGCTCGGACTGACCAATATTCATCAGCTCCGGGAAAGATGAGGATTGAGCTCCAGGTGCAATACCGGGCTCGTCATCATCACGTCCTGAGACGGAATCATCATGGTCAGGACGATTATTCCCACGACCCTGAGAGCGATTAGCTCTTGAGGCATTAGACGATAGATCATCAGTGCGAGTAGCACTGGACCTCTCTGAAGGCATTGCTTCGGAAAAAGTGTGATCCGACAAAAAGTCACCGGAAAAAGTCGGCTGTCCGGGCACCTGGCCGTCATTCACGACGTCCAAGATTCCGGCCTGGCCGAGAACCCACTCATCGGTCACCACATGAGGTCCATCCTCAGTGATTTCCGCCATGAGACCTACAGTAACCTATGGAAAACGGCGCCTGCAGGGTTGTTATTAAAAAGGGGTTCGCGGTGCCAACCGAGGACGAATCCTACGGCTGATAACCTGCGAAAGGGTTTGAAACAGAGTTTCGGGAGAGAATAAACAGGCCCAATCCCACCAACAAGAAGAGATTGTTTAAGTCCCCCAGTCCCAAGGGCAAAGCGGTGCCCCCGGCTGGCACGAACAATGAACCAAAACAGGGTGCCTTTAACCAAGAGATGAATGCCCAGCAAGGGCAGAGACAACCGAAAGCAAGCACAAAGCAGCAAACCAAGCAGGCAAACAATGCGAAGCGCAGCGAGCAAGCAGAGCAAACCAAAGCGCGACGAGCGAACTGTCAACCCACCAGCCTGACCCACAACCAGAACAACCAAGACCACTGCCTGCCCAGCCGCGCGCTTTGTGCTCGCGCAGATGGGCGGCGTGTGCCGTCGAGGAAGCGCCGACGTTATGGCGGGCGGGAATTGTCACAGTTAAAAGCTTGAGCCAAACGGCGCATTGGCCGTGGCAGTGAACAATACATGCTGTGAGAAAAGTACATGCCCCCAGAAACAGAAATGAATTGAAATGAATTGAAATGAAATGAAATGAAATGAATTGAAATGAATTGAAATGAATTGAAATGAAATGAATGAATGAGTGAATGAATGAGTGAATGAGTGAGTGAGTGAGTGAGTGACTGAATGAATGAATGAATGAATGAATGAATGAATGAATGAATGAATGAATGAATGAACGAACGAACGAACGAACGAATGAATGCAAACAATCTAAATAAACTTCTACACATGTAAATCACATTCTACATCTGCGTGTTTGTACCAATGTGTACACACGTATGTATAGATAGACGTCTTTCTACATGTATGTATATACGCACGCGCGCACACAAACATGTATGCAATATAGAGTTGTAGATACACCTCTATATAGGTGCAGCCATTGCTCTCAGACTGCATCTGTGATGCACCCCGCTACATCATACACAAGCAAAGGCAGAATAGTCCAGAATGGTTGAGTTCCATCTCAGACTTTGTGGCAGCGTGCTAAAATAAGTCGGCATGCCTCTGGCATGCCTTTAGGTTGACAAAAACCATGAGCTCTTTTACGCAGCAGCCGCGTTCGCGGAGAAACTGCGCAGAGATGAACACGAACACACAAAGAACAACGAGCAAATCATCATTGAGAAAGTCAGTCATTGCGCAGCTAAAGCCAGGGACCAAAAGGTGGCGAGACTCAATGAAGGACATATTGAACAGTCCACAATATACTTGGCATGATTGATGCAGACCTCGGCCCTAGAAATCCCAAGAACAAACCGATATCAAAAGGAGAAGCCATGCGTGCACATGGTTACAACAACTTCCCATGGACAAGCAAGATCTGACCTAAAGCGGAAACCCGTTTGAAGTTTACATGAATTATCCGCACAGGCTTCTTCAGCATGGCCAGCTTTTGCCGGCTACACAGGCTTGAAAACAAGAGCTCGAGCCTCAATCAGCACGAATTAGCTTTCTTCCAAAGCTGCTCCCAAGACCACGTGATGGTTTGTGTGGCCCTGTGCAAAGGTACAAGGGAACGCCTCTGATACATCTCCCACTCCAATCAGGGATGCTCACACAAAGGGGTGCCTCAACGGCGCCCCAAAGTCTTGGCATCAGCGGACCACCCCCAACACTGGAACCTAACATTCTCAAGAGGCAAATAGGGCGCTGCCTCTGGAGCGTTAGCGGCGACACCCGGACATTCCAAACGCAAGCAGAACACCTCCAGCCTGAATGGTTTGGCCCCTTGACTTTCACGTGTCCACCTTTTCGCTTTTCCCTGAAGTTCTGAAGGCAGCCCCCCACTCTCGGCTCAGGCCATCGGTCGCCAAGGAGCGCTCCTTGAGCTCCGCGAGGTCCCGAAGGCCTGCGGCCAGCAGGCGCTTCACCAGGCGCCGCGCGCCACTCTCCATATCCTATCAGCTTGTCGGAGCGGATCATTCTCCACTCTCCACTCCCCGGAACTTCACCAAGGGGCCTCTACAACCTCAAAACTTTTGCCAATGAGTGTTTGTTTGAAGGTTCCACGCTAACTTTCAGGAGAGGATCCTCACTACAAGCCAGCAATCACAGTCTTGCGCCATGCTCAGGAAACCCTTCTGCTCAGGCCCTTCTTCGTCAAAGGAAGGTCTTCCAGGATGTTTTTCTCACGCCTCATGCTCGAGGGCAGGCACCAGCAACTTTTCACTACAAATCATGGCCGTCAAGCTCTGTGTGCAGACCTGAGTCCTTTCACATCAATACCCGTCACTGATTGAATCGCCACTTCTACCCAACTTGTTGAACAACACCCACTCAAGGGCTGCCAGCTTTTCACCCACAAACCTGTACCATGCAACAATCACCATGCCAACATCACGCGACGCAACTTCGCAACAGGGCAACCTCACTGAACTAAGAGGACGTGATATGTACCCTTTGGTAGAGTTCCCAGCCCGGAAAGGGTCTCCTACAATGCGCACTCTCCCATCTCCCACTCCTCTGGCTCCCGGCGCCGCTGGGCGCGGAAGGCCCAGGCCGCCAGCGGGGACTGCATCCAGCGAGGCAGCCCGGCCACCCACAGCGTGGTGGTCACTGTCTGCTCCTCCTCCGGCAGGCCTCTGTGCCCATACATACCTCGGTGACAAGTAACTTGCCCACACATCTGCCTTTGCCTTCATGCAGAGTCGTCTGTTTGCAAATTCCTTTCACTCATGCCGCGCGATTGCCCAGATTATTCTGTGACCACAAAGAATGGTTGGCCCGTTGCATTCATGGCCTTCTACTGTTGGCCAGCACATGCAAGTGTGAATTTGTGATGGACCCTAGCCCAGTGACATGATCACAGTCCCCTCAGTTGTTTGTGAAAACGTCGCAGCCTCAAGAAAGAAGAGCTTCTCCTGAAGAATGCCATTGAACCTTTGGCACGCGGCCCGAACTTGCCAAGGCACGAATGGCTCTGCCGACCGATTGCACCAGAGCGCTTGGCGTGGCCTGAGTGCTGGGCATGGACAATGGAAGCCAAGCAAAGGAAGCACCCATCCCACCGAAACAAGAAGAACAAGATCAAGGGTAAGTCACAGTGCAGTCTGCAGCACTCCTCAACTCTTTTTCCCCGAGACCGCGAAAGTGGCTGAAACCCAAAACTGTGCAGAGCAGCGAAAACAGCCTCCTGGCTGTGTCAGCTTCCTGCCGGCCCCAATATCGGATTAGGTGTATGTGCATACCCCACATCGAGTCCGTGATAAACTGGAACTCGGTCTCGTGAAATCCGTGTTCGAAGAGAAAAATCAATATCGCGGTGGTTCCAGGAAAAGTAGCCCCCGAGACCACAACCTAGCCAGTGCAACGGACACCAGCCCAGATTCTCTAAGGTGGCAGGGAAAACCCCGGCCTCAGTAGAACAACTGAAGGCGCAGTTTGCTCAAAGTGGGTGCGTCCGGCTGGCCTGGGGCTCCTCCCAGGCCCAGGAGGATAAGTCCCTGGCAAGCCAGCCGGCCAAGGGAGGGGCTAGCCGCTTCCATTGCCGGTCTTCTCCTACATCTGGACGTCCTCAGGAGGCCCGGTAGCAGGATCCAGGATGGTGTGAAGCCGTCCACCACCGAGATTCTGTGCTGCATGTCAAAACCTGAAAGTCCAAGTGAGTGCGTTGGTCTGCCCAGACTTTTGATGTGATGGAGGGATGCGAAGACTGCCCTCTTCTGTTCCTGCGCTGAGAGCTCCATGAGAAGGGTGGAGCAGGGCCACTTCTTGGCGGAGCGTTTGGAAGCAGCGTAGGCGTTGCCTTCGTTGTCTGTACGGAGGGGAATATGGACCTGTGTGCAGCGAACATAAACAAGAAGAGCGAGGCTCCTAGTTGGCCGAGTGTGCTCCAGAAAGCAGAATCCACCACAAACCACAATACCTGGACGCCTGTCCGGGTTGAGAGTCCCCAAGCCACCCGCCAACTGTTGTGCCCGGTGACTCCCCCGCATCACTACATCCATGGCAGCCGTTGGTCAGTCCATGGTGGATAGGTGCCCGCGATCATGTATTTCCTGTCTTGCCTCCGGATTTTGATATGCCGGTGTGCCTTGCTGACATCCGACTTGAAGAGGGTGAGACCCTCCTCCAGAAGTTGCCCGCGTGTGCGCCCACAGCAAATCATGCAGCGTAGGGGGAGGTTGTCTTCTTGCTGATGTTGAAGCGGATATTGTCGTTCACCTGGAGAAAGGTCCAAGTTCCAGGCTCATGTCACGCTCTTCTTGAAAGATGCGCTCAGTTTCATCCTCTTACAGTGTTACAGCCCTTCTCCAACTTTTCGCCGCGACCATACCTGCGGCAGAACTCATCCACCTCCCTGGTCCAGAAGCGGACATCTTCTCTGATCTGGGAGAGTGCCTTTGAGACGGTGAGTGTGTCATCCGTGCACAGGCGCCACCCGGCGCCAGACTTTCCGCTCCGCTGTCATCACGACGCTCAAGCTGGGGGGCGGGGGCTCTCTGCCCATGACATCCTCCCCGAGCATGAAGTCGCAGAACTCATTAAATTCTTCCTTGGTGAGTGCAATGGTGGGTGGCGAAGAAATCGCGGCCACCACCATGAGGAGAGAAGTGCGCCAGATCATGAGCATGCGCTTCCCTTGCTTCTCCGAAGAGGCCCCACACCCAGTCGACCACCGGTTAGATCTCCAGCTTGCTCAACTTTCTCTTCTTGAGACTCCGGAAGGCATCTAAAGAGTTCTCCAGTCGGATGACGGGCAGGATCAACGTGGCCGGGGCACGAAACCCAGATTAGGTGGGTGACGAAACCCGCACTTCCTCCCAGTCCAGTTTCCGTGTCCAGGCGCAGTCCAACCACACCCCACGTCCCTTCTCCTGGGGCCTGAAGCATGGAGGTAGTCACCGCCGGAGCCCAAGATGAGCTGATGCAGAGCCTGGCGCACAAGCTGAAGACCAGCAACACCTGCTACGTGACAGCACGGCACGACGTGCAGTACTTCCCCAGCTCGCTGAGCTCCTTCTCCCCCACCACCTCGCGGGTCTGCCGCATCCCGCTGACCAGCAGCACGTCCTTCATCGACCCCGAGTCGATCAAGATCACCTTCCACATCAGGAACATAGAGTTTGCGGACGCCACGCCTGCGCTGTGGTGGACCCACGCTGAGCACTGACTTTGAGATCCAGAAAGTCCGAGGTCTGGCCCCCCAGGTGGTGCTGGACTCGGTGCTGGTCGCTGTCGGGCGCTCCCTCGTGTTCAGCTACCCCACGGTGCACACGCAGCAGTCCAGCGTGCCGACGGGCGTGGCGGAGCACAACGTCACCGTCGCGCGTGCGTTCACGAAGCTCATGGGCGCATTCGTGACCTTCTGGGACAACGACGCGGGCTCGAAGATTCATCTCCTGGCCAACCCGGGGCAGGACGTGGGGCAGCAAGGCAGGAGGACAGCTCTCGGTGTTGGCGGGGACGTACGACGACACGGTGCGCAACATCGACATCGGCCGTGTGGGCTACCTGCGCCGCAGCTTCATTGCGGGCTTCCCGACCGAGCGCGTGCCCAAGATGCCCCAGAGCAGCTGTCAGCTTCCTGCCAAGTCCGAAGGGCAGCATTGAAGGACCCAAATACTTCTTCTCGCAACGTCACCTCCAGCCCCTTTCCCCCGGACGGGTGGTTCACGCAGTGGACCTCAAAAGCCATGCGCCGCACAATGTTGGCATAGTCCTTGGGCCCCGTAGGGGCGTGGTAGCACCCATGCCTTGGCCTTGAGGCGGGGCTCCGTGAAGTTACGCATACGCGCCATCTTCTTGCCTGCCGAGTCGTGACCGTTTTTTTCCTCCTGACCGTGATTGATGGGCAGCCCAGCTCCTTCTTCCGGCCATTGGAAGAGTCCTTTTTGTAACCCAATCCCTGACACTGAGGGAGGGGCCATGCAGGTGCACCTCAAGGCAGCTGCAAGGATTTGGCGCTGAAAGCCGTTGAGCAGCTCTTGATGTTCTCGTAGATCTGCAGGCTCATGGCTTCCGTGAACGGTGGCTGAGGCGGGCCCAGCTCTTCAAGAAGTCCTCCGCCTCCTCTTAATCATCCCCGCGGAGTACCGAACCCGCTTCCAACCTGTAAGGTACTCCTTGTCCCTGCCTGCGGTGGGCCGTCTCATCAGCCTCCCGCGTAGACGTGCTGTTCCCCACTGCTGGACGAGCTTGTGAACCAGGATAACTTCCTCTCTGACGGCTTCTGCTCCTGAAAGGCGGATGTGGGCCCATTCAAAGCTCTGGGCTCCATAGTTTGGCCGGCTGCTGACACACCAAATGGTCGGCCACTTGTTCGACGCACCTCCATGGCTTGTACCCTCGAAGAGATGCCGGTTGCGCTGGTCCGAAAGGGCGATCATGTGTCCTGAGAAACTCGGTCCGGTCGAAGGCCCAACTTCTTGGACGCTTCTGTGCCGCCCCCTCTTCAAACGCCATCTTCTCCACTGCACTCCAAGCCTCTACCGCCTTCTGCTCCGCCAGCGCTCCTTTGCAACCATGTTCAACACCACCATGTTGCCACACACACAGGTGTAATTGAAGGAATGCGGATGGGTGACGTGGATGAGGGTTTTGCCAGCATCCTCAAAGGCCGGCCCTCCAGGGGTTTCATGAAAATCCCAAGACTGTCCGACATCAGGGCCAAGCATGGCCAGGCCAAACACCTCCAAGACTCAGGAGGTGAGCCTCCCCCCCTTTTCCTACTTCAGCGCTGGATGCAGCCGGCAGGGCCAGATAGGGGGGGAGGAAGTTCCTTTGTGAGCAGGTTCTTCAGGTTCCAAAGCGCTGTCCCAATCTGCACCTGGTCACCCCCCACATCCTGGAACGTATAAGCCAATACCCATCGTTTTGCAATGTCTAGGGCCATGGCGTAGACCTTGCCACTATGCTTCAGGAGGTGTCTTGGGATGTCGGACTTCTTCCTTTCGGCCATGTGGCCAGCGAAGTGTAGAAGCTAAGTACCGTCAAAGCAAGCCCTGCCAACGCGATGTCCGGGATCCTCCGGGCAGGCCAGCTTCATGTTGTCCCCGCTCCGATGGCCAGTCAGCCCAGAAGGCCTTCCTGGTTGGACTTTGGCTCCCAGACATTGTTCACCATTTGCCACCCCTTGCCATCCGGGCTGCCAAAACCGGGATCACCGTGTGTCCACACAGCAAACATTTCACCCCGCAATCTTTCTCAAATCGGGCTCCGCACCTTGGCGTTCCGGTGTAGGGTGCCTGCAGGGCCTCAGTCTTCTCCTTGGACTGCGTCCCAAAAGCTTGGGGGCACTTTTTAGCTTGGCTGACTGAATCCGTTGTCGCAAATGGCCACCCAAGTTCCATAGGCCTGGCTGAACTTGGCCAGAACGGATCTGGGGAGACACCGCAGAATGGCTCCACCAAGTCGTGGTAAAGCCCCTTCTTGGCATCATGCGCCTGCGCCACACACATATCCGTATCTTGAACGTCCGCCTCGGTCAAAGATGGAATGCGGCAGAGAATGTGGATCTGCGCCGGCATCTTCAAGGTCTTCCGCCTGTTGATGAGGTCCATAAGGGCCGCATCAGCATCTGCACCGTCCCAGTTGGAACGGATCAGAACTCTCTCCTCCTTCTTGGCGCGCAACCCTGCAGGCCCGTCGGGGAGTTGATGCACAGCAGGCCACCACGACTGGGAGAAGAGGTCCATCACGCTCATCTCCGCCTGGTTTTCCAAGGTCAACCTTGTCCTCCAATCCTTTAAAGACTTCTGTGGGGACAGCATGCTCCAACACCTTCTGCTGGATCCAGGCAACCAGATCGGCCGTGGTGGGCCCGCAGTATCCGTGTATCAAGCCTCTTCTCCGACTCTGCGCCATCCGCCCCCAGGAAAGCCCAAGACCCCAAACGCCTCCTTGGGCCAGGACAGCCGCATCCGCTGGAAGATCCATGGTCTGCTCCCCCACGCCAGGTGCCTTCGGCCGTCCCGCCATCGAGGTCCCCCAACTCCGCAGCCGTCGTCACCGCGTCAACTTCCATGGCCGCCACCGTGTCCCCCTCCTTAATCTCCTCTGCCGGCCGCTTCAGGGAGTGGATGGGTGGGGAAACAAATGAAGGAGACCGAGATCTGAACAAGGGGTCAAGTCAGTGACTTGAGCCAAATGGCCCCGAGCATAGACCTCCGCAAGGACCGAGCACAAGTGGAGAAACCCGGAGGTAGCAGCACTTGGCACTATGACATCCTAGTTTTCCCAACACAAGTTTGGACAACATAAGAATTGCTAGAGTCACATGACGGGGGCGCTGCAAATGGTGGCCTACAAAACTTGAAGGGCAGTCCACGCGCCAAAAACCAGGCCGGGCAGCAGATGCTGGTCCCCCTCTAGACGTTTGATGCGCGCCACATTTAGGGCAATTGTGACGTGTCGCCCCTCCTCAGTTCGGCAAAGACAAATGCCAATTCAAAACTCAGGCAGCGGCCGGCACATCAGCAAGGTGCAACCTGCGAACGGCGAAGAAGCTGACTCCCTCAGAGCATGAGGCGGCATCTGCCACCAGAACACCTCAGGTTGGCCAGCAGGGAGAGTGAAAGTGAATGGACCCAACAACGCTCAGATTTTCCCCCCCAGTGTGGTCTTGGAGAAGTGGCATCACTGAGCCAAGTAAACAATTGCAGGTTGAAGCGTGTGCAATACTGCATTGTGTTGGCTGCACTCACCTAATGCAGAGCCCTCTGCTTCACTTCTTCAAACTTAGCTTGCCTTGACGACTGACGCACTAAAGAGGAGCAACCCCAGGTCTAGTTTACAAGTGATAGGCTTCCTCCTGTCGAACGTCCCCCACTCAAGGTGCACCAAAGGGGTCTGCCAGCTTGGGGCTTCGCTCACACTGGACATCCGTAAAGCTGAGGAGCGGAATCGCTCACCACGCAGGTTTCCAGGAGAATTGAACCTGAGGTGTGCTTGAGCCTCCTGCTACCTTGCACCTGTCTGGACCGACCGGATTGCTGGATCACCTCAATTACATCTGGATGAGTTTTCCATCGCTACTACTCACATTGAGGCGCCTGTCAACAAAAGCAAGCATGTACCTCAACAAAAGCTTAGCTCCTGTTTGCCTTTTGGGCGTAGCAAGCATTTTCTGGCAAACACACCCAAGCATCTCCAACCGCTACCTCAACAAAGAATTGCGTGGCTTCCAGAGAGAGAGAGAGAGAGAGAGAGAGAGAGAGAGAGAGAGAGAGAGAGGAGAGAGAGAGAGAGAGAGCGAGCGAGCGAGCGAGCGAGCGAGGGAGGGAGAGAGAGATCACATGAATTCCTGCAGGAAAGGGCAAGCCAAGCAAGGAGTGAGGAAAGTGTCCCACAGGCAGTGCCAAACATACTGTAGACCGCTTGAAGTGCACGAGACTCTTCAGAAACGCCCTGCTCGGTAGGACTCCAGAGCGTGTCCCTAGTTGTTTTTGGATGGCAAATGGGCCACCTAACTTCCGGAAGGTTCGTTGTTGAAGTACATGAGCCACCCCTGGGGTGGATCGGTCCTTTTAGAGAAATTGAGGAAACGCAAACGTGACACCCCACCTCTTTGGTTCTTGAAGGGGCTGCCATGGGACGGGCAGCAAAGACCCACTGAAAGCCTGCTTGGTGACTGCGTTCAAACTGCAACATCTGGCCAATGCACTCTGCCAGCTCCTCCATGGTAGCCACGCTGAAGTTGTGCTCAGAGGCCTGCGCCTAAGGGGGACATGTGGGCATGCAAGCAGCGTAGGTGGGGAAACCAAATTGCAAACCAATTGGACAAGAGTTGGAAGCTTCCAGCACTGCTCTCCTCTTTGAAGGTGTCATTCAATGGCGCCTATGCGAACCTAGCAGCGGAAGGGAGGTTGCTGGGTACAAGCAAATGTTCATGGAAACCTGGACGAGTGTGCCAATCTGGTCTTATGACCTGTCGTCCTTGCAAGAGTGCTCTTCCTTGCCTATCACCTGCAGAATTTGGAGTCGACAACATGCAAACCTTCGAGGTGCCTTTTGCAAATTGCAATTCCGAGCACCGCCAACTCGATTAAAAAACAAAACTTGAGACTACTGCCGAACACGAGGCTCCGTGCATCGTGCCGCTGCGGCGCTCGCAAGTGCTCCAGCAGCGCCATCAGCCCGGAGCTGCGGTTGATGAGTACCAAAGCCTCGACTTGAGCTCAGTATCTGCGCTCTCGCAGCCTTGCTCTTGAAATGCAACCGTCCCATTGTTCTGCCTCGACTTTCCGTTGGTCTGAAACCGTGCACGAAATACTTGCCCATGTTTGCTGACTCTCCCATGTTATGGTGCTGGCGGCCCAGCTTGTTCGGATCAACCTTCACGAAAGCCCTCAGAAAGCCTTTTTCAGCAGCCGATTGCATGCGCAGCATTGCTGGCACACGGCCTGCTCGCGTTGGAGCCAAGAATCCAAAACAAGTTGCTTAAGAACCGCATGGTCAAACCCAAGGGCGTTAATCTCCATTGGGTCAACCAGTCTAACAAGGCGACTGTAGGCCCGTCCTTTTCCGGGTGCTCCACCACGTCGGCCGCTATGGCAAAGAGCTTTGGCGCACAAGCGGACATGTTTGCCAGCACTCGAGCCTGGGCGAGATTGGATGGAGACAAATTGCGGAAAAGCTACGCTTTCACCCGTCTGGCTTCCAGCAACGTGTGATATTTTTGCTTTGACAACAACATGTGCTATGTGCATCCCTTTCGGTGAACTTGCACCAAACGCATTGCCAGTTGCGGATGCTCACTGCGGACCTCCAGATAAATCAGAAGGGGTTCCGTTTGGGCGTGAAAACACTTGGGCTCCAGCAAAACAACCTCCATTGATGATAGCTGTTCAGGGCGCGACTGCTTAGATCCCGGGCCTTGCTGCCGTTCTTGCCCTCATGCAAGCTTCCGAAATGCACCTTGGTGTTGTTTTTGTCTGCTTGCCCACGCACACACACACACAAGTATGCCTATGTCTATACTTATTTATTTATATATATATGCATAGAGCCCGCAAGAGGGGGAGAGAGAGAGAGAGAGAGCGAGAGATGCCTGTGTTTGTGTTGCACATGTGCGGATGGATGGGTGGGTGTGTGGGTGGATGGATGTATGGATGGATAGACGGACGGATGGATGGATGGACGACGGACCAATGGAGGGATGGAGGAATGGATGCATGGACGGATGGACGGACGGTGGATGGACGGGTGGATGGATGGGTGCATGGCTGGCTGGATGGATGGATCGAGAGGCAGATAGATAGATAGATAGATAGATAGACAAACAAAAGGAAAGGCAAACAAAGACATAAAATACCTGCAGGAACCTTGAAGACTTGACCGCAAGGGCAAAGGGGAGAGGGGGGGAAAAAGAAGAAGAAACAACGCAGATGCGGCAACCAAAAACACCGTCGTCGGCAACAAAGAACAGATTCAGCAACTACAAAATCAGATTCGGCAAGAGGGGCTTGGCAACTGGAAAGGAAGGATTTGTCAACTTGAAGGGCAGAAATTGGCAACGAGGGTTTGGGAAGCCATAGGCTTGCTGCAATCCGCAAACAATACTACAATGCTCACAACAGTCCGGGCCTGCCTGGGATCAGGGCCTGCCATGGGACCCCTCGAGGGCCCGCACGCAAAGGTTGCAGTAGGCGCGAAGCCTTCGGTCAGGCAGCCCCTTCCTGAGTCGAGTTCGGAGCAGAACTTGCCCAGCAACCACCATAGCCATAGCGCCTTCAGCGCCAAACAGCACCCTGACCAGCACCTATGCATCAACCTGGCCCGAACTTGCAAAAGCAGCCTGCCTCTTAGAATAAGAACCCCTTATAGCTCCCGGCTATCTGGGAACAAGCACTGCTAGTCACCAAGCACCCTGACCAGTTGACCAGCACCGGCAGGGCCCCCCCCCCCCCTCCCGGGTCCGATTTCGCTGAAAAATAAAGCCTCTGTAAAGTGAGAAGCCCTTTCGCTTAAGCTATCTGAGGAAAAGTATTTCCCATATTTCTGCCTCTGCTGATCCCAGCTTCGCTCGCTTGGCATCGTAGCGCTTCAACGGCTCACCCGTGAGTGTTACCTGGCAGGCTGGGACAGCTATCATTAGCACCCCGTATGGAAATCGCAGAACCCCCAAACTATGCCATCAAAAGATCAGGTATCCAAAATATTCTGCCCGAATCACCACCGGTACTAGATCATCCTGAGCATATCCAGCAATGAGCGATATTGGTTGGGATGGGATTTGGGGTAGCCTGGGGCTGGGGTTAGGGTCGGTTCAGGATGAGGTGGGTCTAGTTAAGTGTTGGGGTGGGTTTAGGACTGGTGTTCATTTCAGGTGGTGGAGTTAGTGTGGGAGTGGAGGTTGATTAGATTTGATTCTTTTCAGGCTTTGTCGAGGTTGGTTTAAGGTTGCTTTCAGTTTGTTTAGGGCGTATTCTTAGGTCGCGTTGGGATGGGTGTAGGGGCGATTCAGGGTGAGTTTAGGGTGGGTGAGGGATGGATTTAGCAGAGTAGTCTTATTCATGTTCCTTTTCCTTTCCCTTCCCCCTCCCTCCCTCCCTCCCTCCCTTCCTTCCTTCCCTCCCTCGCCCTCCTGGTTTTGACGCACTCCCATCTAATTTAGGGCTTGCCCTGTGCCACAGCTCCAAGGTGTCACCATAAGTTGTTATTCTCATGCCCAAGTGTTTTTAATGCTTGTTGGGTCGTGATTCCCACCCTTCTGGCGAACAACTGCTATTCTCCCTCCCGCCGCCCGTGCCTTCTGCACGAACCGGCGGCGGAGGTTGGGCGAGAGTATGCCATCCGGGACGCCCCGCGGTAAAGAAGCCCTGGGAGTCCGGACTGAGACTCTGGGGGGCCCTTTCAGAACTTGGACCTTGGAATTGCAGCACCAACCCTTGGGAGGGTCCCTCCAATTTGAGGGGAGCAGGGCACTCGGTGGGCATGCATCTGGGTCCTGACCTGTCAAAACCACATCCCTGCAAAAAGAAAAGGCATGTATGTGAACCGCCCCAGCGGTTGCACACAACTGCCACAGGGTTGCTGGCCCTCAATTGCTTTGGCGCAATGAAGGTGGGGTAGGCCTGGGGGAGTTGCGAAAAGAAAGCAGTCATGCGCTTTGATCCCCCGTGCACCATTAATTGCAGGCAAGCGTCGGGAAAAGCCCGACCTTGGCAAGTCGGGCGAATTCATTAGCAGTATTGATTGACTGCCCGACTCCTCCCAAGCAACCAGCGTACAATGTGTGTGCAATTTGTGCGTGTGCGGGTTGCAATGTGTATATCTGCGCACTCGAAAGAACCACTTTGTAAAGGCTTAGTGGGACTTTTCACTTTGGCATTGATTGCCATTTCATTCTCCAGTCCTTCAAAAAGGGGCTTTCTTTTGTCCATGCAGCTGGTCGCATAGGAAAGGAGGATAAGAAGCCCCCATCACCTCGTCCAGCTCCGCCTTTGATGATGTCCTTAGGCGACGCTCAGCCCGTCAGGGAATCCTCCAAAAGTGCCCAAACTGTCAAAGAGAGTGAAGGCTTGCTAAGGCCTGGCCGCCTGGCCTTACCTTAAGCCAAGGCTCCAACAGCTGACGTCCTTCACAAGCCTGGCGTGCGGAGGAGGCAAGGCAACGCGCAGGCTGGGCGCAGTGCATGCCGCAAGCAGCTGAACAGCATCGAGTTCCGGCCTGGTTCAGGATTGGCGTTCCGGTGAAGCCAGCCAGCACTGTGCCAGTGGCTGTGGAGAGTAATGTTCCTTGAAAAAGGACTCAGATAAATCAGAATCGAGACACTTGAAAGGGGCGATACCGCTTTGACCCCTCCGTTAACCTGCTTTTCCTGGGGTGAGGCCCCCACTCAAACACTGTGTCAAGAATGGCAAGGCACAATCTTCAGCTCTTGCTGAGCCTTCTGGTCCTGGCCAGGTTGCGAAGTTTTGCCAGCTGCTCCCCATACTGCGTCTGCAGTCTCACGAGGTTGTGGACCTGTGAAGGGGGCCCACCACGCTAAAGGCATACCGTACTGACTGCACTGACCTTGCCTCATCCATAATGACCACCTCAAATGCCCAGTTGGGCACGGTGGCTCCGGGACGGTGACATGGCTTCAGCTATGTGCAGGGTGTTCCATGTAGCCTATGCCTTGCTCACACGTTTGCACGTCACCGACACCAAATCCGATCGAGGTTCCTTGTTGGAATACGCGTTGTTGCCATCCCGCTTGCGATTGAAGGCGACCTTCAGCAAAGCGCTGACTGGCCATCCATCCTTGGGGCCATGCAGGGGACAAGGCCACGAGTGCCAACACGTGCCACGTGGCAGCCAATCCATACACAAAACGCCCCGAAGTCCAATTCGGCTGAAGCGCTGGACGCAAGTCAGCCTGGAGCGGATGGCCGTTTGCATCTGCTGTTTGCATGCTTGCACCTTTGTCCTTGAGCGGCTCTGTAGTCGCCACAACCTGCTTCCTCCCTTCTCACAGCCTGTCCCTTTCATTTTGACAATTGAGCCAGCTCACCAAAGTCATACTGAAACGGAAAATGCCCGAGAATGACCTTGTTGGAAATTGATCAAGCTGTCGACCCTTGACAAAAGCAAAAAGGCCCCCAAGACATGTTGAGGGAACAAGCATTTACCACACAGCCCATCTCAGCGCTCGGCGTGCCGGCCCCCTGCAGAAGTATACCGAAGTGCCCGCAACGGTGCGGCAGGTGCCGTTTCATCGGGGAATCGCAGCTGGAAGGCCTCTGCAAAATGAAGCAGCCGAAAGTTGGGCGAATAAATATGTGCCTTAGGGTCAAACAGTTGCCCAAGAAAGATCATTCTCGCGCACTCTGAACTGATGATGACTGAGGGCGAATTCAGAATTCACATTTCTTTGCCAGGCCGATGTCCGATGGGCTGTCCGAAGCCTTGCCCTCTGGGGTGGTACGTCGCTCTTGCAGCTGCAATGAAGCAAGGGCTGAAATACAAGCAGTGACTAGGTAGTGAGAACACCAGCGAGCCTCAGAAGCGTCATTGAGCAAGCACTGTGCAAACCAACAAAAACACACAGGCACGCAGACAACAGCAAACACAAACGCACGTAAACAAACACACACACACACGGGCACACAGGCGCACAAATGCAAACACAAATGCAGATGCAAACGCAAACACAGGCACACGCCCAAACACACACACACACACACACACACACACACACACACACACACACACACACACACACACACACACACACACACACACACACACACACACCACACACACACA